GTTGATCTTTAGTCTTACAGCGAGTTTTGGTCTCTCGTACAACTGCGCGCCCCACATAATAATCAAGGTGGGTTGAAAATGATAATTGGGTGGCCATATATAAGGGGTGATGTGGTCACAGAAATTATCTGACAGTCATGATTCGGTTCTCCTGCTTGTGTGACATGGTGCAGAGTCCTGTTGCTAGACATACGGTCTTCCAGCAGCCACCCTCTTGACTCAGGACAGCACTACCAGACACTTAATGTAGAGTTGTGTGTTGAGACTGAGACCCTGTGGGAAGATGAATGAATGCATAATGTCACCATCACTTGTGATCACTCCAAATACCTTCATAATCACCATTAGACTCATCCAACTCTTTCCGAATCCTCTGCATTGACACCCAAACAGTCTGAAATGTTTGTATTTGAAATTTCGGCGCAAATGCCAAGCACTACAGTATGTCGTTTCCAAAATTTTTGGCGGAGTGAATTGCATCATGGTGCTCTTTTTTTTCTCACAGACAATGCCCAAGTGTCCCTACTCTACTGTGTAGTCAACAAAGTGAAACAACATGCATGAGCGAAAATAAAAATATAAAATGACGACAATCGCACCCTGTATATGTGGGCAACCTTTAGAGTATCTGCTCTGGGTACAGACATTTACCCAAACATGAAAAACAAAAAAATAAAATAAAAAACATTTAAAAGAGAGAAGTCGGAAGAACGTAAATGAAAGTTTTATTTTATACAATAAAAATAAAACCTGTGCACAAAGTGTAGAAATATGTTACACGCTTACTCCCTGATCCTGAAACGGAAAGCTAGCGAATATTATAAAATTCTCTACCTTACTAAAAAAATACCTAACACATTATGATGCAAGAAGTTGTTTTGTCTCCGTGTCCGAGGAGCATTTTCTCTTCCAAGTGAAAGCCATTAAGTGTCACAGGCCCGGCCATTAAATGTCACATGCACGGCAATGCATACTAATTAAGGAAGAAGAAGGAGAGTTAACGCAATCGTAATATCAAATTACATTTTATTTCACTAGAAAAAGGCACAAGAGCCACTCAAGGTAGAGGGTTATTTAATGAAATGCGTGATGCAAAAGTAGAAAGTAGAAAGTGAGGATCATGTGGATATGGTCGATAGTTAAGCATTGATTCTTGACTTGAAGAGGTTAAGATTATAGCAATCGAGGAAGTATCTACGCGGGAGTCTGTTTTATAATGCAGCGGTTCTTGGAATAAAAAAAATGCTGAGTGAAACTTCCTTACTAATTGGATACCGAATCGGGGGTGACGAGTCAACGCAATAGAAAAACTGGATGGAGAGTCTTAGTGGTAAAGTGGTGACAGACTGGCATCTTTGTAATCTATTGGAAAGAGGCGGCAGGCTACGTAAATGATCTTAGACTTTGTCAGGGTAGAAAATGATAACTGGGCATTCCCAGCCCAGATTTAACAGCAATACTCCATATTTGGTCTCTTCTGACTCTTTTAAGGATAAAACATGTTGGAAGGAATTATCGTATTTGACGGCATATAACACGCACTTGTGTATAAGACGCATCCAAATTTCAGCAGGGAAAATCAAGAAAAAAATTAGCAATTAGTAAAATTATTAGTAAATGGTACAGTTTAGGCTATATTTATGAGGTATTACTTTGTTTAAACAAGCCATGATTACAATTAAACGAAAAATAATAAGAAAAAAAGAACACGAAAAAATTTATTATATCCAAAGGTAAGAAAACAAAGCAAAAATCAAGCAATTATTTCAATTGAGCAAAACAGTAGAGTTACCATTAAAATTTTATTCATCTTCAAATCCATAAAATTCGTCTTTGTTATCAAAACTCTTATACTCATTTTCAATACTATATATCGTCGTTAAATAATGCGTCATCTTCCGTTCCATTGAGAGCATTGCTAATGCCACACTTTTAAAAAGATTTCACAACAATTTCTGGTAGAATATTATCCCAAGTTTGCTTCACCCATTCGGAGACTTGTGCAATGCTGGGTGCTTTTTATTCGTCTTGTCAGTGTAAGGTCGTGATCAGGCATTGTCATCCATGTGTTCCATTGCTCCTTCATGTTTAAGTCTAAGCTAATAGGATTTGCCAGGTAGCTAATTTCGACAGACTATCGCGAATCTAAAAGCTACATATGGCATATAAGAGGCAGAGGAATTTTAAAAGATATTTTTAGTAAAAAAAAAAGTGCGCCTTATAAATCAGGTAAGTAATTTCTGTAGCGATAGAATGAGTCGAAACAGTTTTCATAAAAAAGTAATAAAAAATAGAAACCTCCCTTTGTGAATTGTTGGTTTTTTTTTTACATAAACAGTGAACCCCTTGTTTTTCTTTGTTATTAAATGTCTATCCAATACAGGGACTAAGAGCTCTTCAAAGTAGTCAGTCAGTTATGTCAGATGCGTGATACACGCTTTGGCGATCATGTATCTTTCGATACATGACTGACGAGGCAGATTTTTTCCCGCAGTAGGTTGCCATTTCTTTCTGCAGTAGACCAGTTACCATCCAAGGATGTAGAACCCGGTCTGTGCTAATATTTACCCATAGCTGGGGAGATAAGAAGAGGATTCATGCCTTTCCCAAGGGTATTAGCATGTAAGTGAATGTAATGGATTCGACTGAAATGTCAGTCAGTTATGTGCCATGCGTGATACACACTGAAGCGATCATGTATCTTTCGATAATGACTAACGAGGCAGGTTTTTTCCCGCAGTAGGTTGCCATTTCTTTCTGTGGTAGACCAGTTGCCATCCATGGCTACAGAACCCAGTCTGTCCTGCTAATGCTACGCATTATTTACCCTCATGTGAGGCTGGAGAGAAGAGGATTCATACATTTCCTAAGGGTATTAGCAAGTAACTAAATGTAATGGATTCAACTGGAATTTGAACTCAGATTCCGCAATCTGAGTCGCTATCCATCACCGTGCCTTCAAGGTAGAAGTTGACTGAATGAGGTTGTTGTATGAGGAGAGACTGTAAATGTAGATTATTTGGATATGTAGGATATATAATGATTGACCCTAGACTTGAAGAGGTTACCATTTTAATGATCAAGGAAGAATAAAACAATCCTCTCGGGCATCTGTTTCCAGAAAGTAGCAGCTATTAGGAAGATGATGTCTAAATTTGATTTCTTACCGGTGAGATATAAAGAAAGTGTGGATGATTCGACCCTGTGTATATGGCACAGTTGATCCTAGCTGTGAAGGTCTGAACTGGTGGGACGAAGGAATGTAGCTCGTCAGAACATTTGCCATGGAAATAGCGATAGAGTAGCGAAAGGCTTGCGATCTTCTGTTTGTGGGAAATGATCTGTAAAGCTGTATATAATTCATCACATAAATGCTTTTGAACACTATGAAAGCTGGAAAGTGAGGATTATGTAGCGCCATACAAGATATGACAGCAAGATTCCATGTTTGGTCTGATCAGACTCTTGTAATGAGAAGAGCGTGACAGATGGTGCTAAATACTTTATGAAGCAGTACAATGAACCGACTGTTTCACCTCCCCCCCGTCTTTTGGTTATGAATTATATTGGAATTAATAATTACATTTGCATTATTTACACTATTCGGACTATTGTTCTCATCTTTGTCGCCATATTTATTACAACGTTTCGGCCTTTGTACGCTCCGGCCTTCTTCAGTTGGTTGGAATGTCGAACTGAACCCTTTATGTCGTTCACTGGGATAGACTGTTCTAGTTCCATGTGCCGTGTTTAATGGATGTCAGTTATCAGTTATCTCCTGTTAATTCCCCTCTGAAAGTTCTTCACTGCATTAACCGTGTATTGAACTCACAGTCTTTTGGTCCTGTCACTGGATCTAACCAACACCTTTATCCACTCTGCTATGTGTTCTTGCATATGTAAAAGACGTACAGATATTAATATAAAATACGAAGCTGTTCTTATGAATAATATTCTAAACACTATCAGACCCAAAGTGATGTAATTTAAAATTTCCCTGACATTGTTCGACTATTCAGAAACGTCCGGAAGACAAAAAAAAAAAGATTGCCATGATTATTGTTTGCTTCACAAATGACTTTCATCCTAGACTTGAAGTACTGCAAGTATGGATCTCAAAATTACTCGGCTCGTTTATTAAATGTCCTGCTACTGTTCCATGCGCCATTATCTCTGGTTTGCTTCTTTAACATATCGAAGCGTAATTGTTACATATGCTTTCACCTTTCCCTGTATAATTTCATGGAACATTTCACTGGTTATTGATCTGTAATTAAATTAAATTTCTATAGCCATCTGATAACAACCAAATAGATTAAATTATCAATAACTAGCAGTCCCCGTGAAAATTTCACGGTCTTCCGATTTTAAATTTCTGATGAATTATAATACTTAGCGAATGAATATGATCCTTGCGAGTGACACGAGTACAAGATTTTCGTGGAAATCCTCCTATTGCATCGTGATTAACAAAATATGGCAATAACAATCATAAGTAATTTAAAGAAGTATGAGGGTACAAATGAAAAGATTACAAATTGATAAGGTTTTCTATTTCACTGAAGCAGATGTTAAATGCATGTGAGCATTATCGCATCTTCTTTCTTTCCGCTTTACTTTTACCTTCCATAAAACTAATAATCATCTCTCATATATCGTTTTCTCCTCTCTTTCCTTGCAATCAATACGGATAGGTCCGTTATTTATCTGAGGCAATGGAAGTTCGTAAAGAATATGCTAATTTACTAACGGAAGAAGAAGCAGAATTATATGCTTAGAGGGGACCTGGGAAAATTTTGCACTATTTTTTCACATTGATTTATCCCACATGTTATTAAGTAAGAAGGTGAAAATTAAAAAAAAAAAAAAATCAAAATTGACAAATTTTTCCATTTCACTGACGCAGGCGTTAAACATCTGAGAGTGTTATCACATCTTCTACTTTCTCATTCTTTCTTCTTTTCCTTACATTTTCCTTCTTTGAAACTCCATTCATACAGTTTTTCCTCCGTTCGTTCGTTCGTTCGTTCTTCCTTCCTTCGTTCCTTCGTTCTTTCCTTCATTCTCCTTTCGTTCTTTCCTTCGTTACTTCGTTCCTTTTTTCGTTCCTTCCTTCGTTCCTTTGTTCTTTCCTTCCTTCGTTCCTTCCTTCGTTATTTCATCCCATCCTTCGTTCCTTCGTTCTTTCCTACCTTAGTTCCTTCGTTCCTTCGTTCGTTCCTTTCTTCGTTCCTTCCTTTGTTCCTTCGTTTTTTCCTTCCTTCGTTCCTTCCTTCGTTCCTTCGTCCCATCCTTCGTTCCTTCGTTCTTTCCTTCCTTCGTTCCTTCCTTCGTTCCTTCGTCCCATCCTTCGTTCCTTCGTTCTTTCCTTCTTTCGTTCCTTCCTTCGTTCCTTCGTCCCTTCCTTCATTCTTTCCTTCCTTGCTCCCTTCCTTCCTTTCTTCGTTCCTTCCTTCGTTCCTTCGTTCGTTCCTTCGTTCTTTCCTTCCTTCGTTCGTTCCTTCCTTCGTTCCTTCCTTCGTTTCTTCCATCGTTCCTTCGTTCTTTCTTTCCTTCGTTCCTTCCTTAGTTCCTTTGTTCCTTCCTTCGTTCCTTCGTTCTTTCCTCCCTTTGTTCCTTTCTTCTTCCTTTGTCCCTTCCTTCGTTCCTTCGTTCCTTTTTATTTTCCTTCATTTTTAACATATCCCCTTTCTCTATGCCGTTTCATTCGTTCTTTTACCTCCATCCGCATCTTCATACCTTCATTTATACAGATTTCTTTCTTTCCTTCCTTGCTCCATTCCTTCCTTCTTTCTTTCCTTGCTTCCTTCCTTCCGTTTTCCTTCTTTTTCATTTTTCTTTATTTTTAATATATCCCCCTTTTGTATGTACTTCCTTTCATTGTTTCTTCCTTTTTCTTTCCTTCCAATCTTTATATACTTTCGCTCATACTCTTTTTCATTCTTTTTTCCATCCTTCCTTTCTTACTTCCTTCCTTCCTTCCTTTCTTTTTCATTTTTTAATATATCCCCTTTCTATATGCCCTTTCTTTCGTTGTTTCTTTCTATTTCCTTCATTTCCATCTTTATATACCTTCGTTCATACTGTTTTTCATTCCTTCTTTCCTTTTTTCTTTCCTTCTTTCCTACTTTTTCATTTTTCTTCAGATTTAATATATCCCCTTTAATATGCCATTTCTTTCGTTGCTTTTCTTCTTTTACCTCCATTCCTATCTTTATAACTTTATTCATACTGTTTTTCATTCTTTCTTCCTTGGTTCATTCCTTCTGTTTTTTTTTCGTTTTTCTTCATTTTGAATATATCTCCTTTCTATATGTACTTTCTTTCATCGTTTCTTTCTTTTTCTTTCATTGCCATCTTTATACCTTCATTCATATCGTTTTTCGTTCTTTCCTTCCTTCTTCCTTTCTTCTGTTTTCATTCTTTTTCATTTTTTCTTCATTTTTAATATATCCCGTATTTATATGTCTTTTCTTTCGTTGTTTCTTTCCTTTTCCTCCACTCCCCTCTTTATACCTTCAATCATACTGTTTTTCATTCCTTTTTTCCGTCTCGCCTTCCTTCCTTGCTTTCTTCCTTCTTTCTTTCCTTCCGTTTTCCTTCTTTTTCATTTTTCTTCATTTTTAATATATCCCCTTTCTATATATTCTTTCTGTCGATGCTTCTTTCTTTTTCTTTCATTCTCATCTTTTTACCTTCTTTCGTGACGTTTTTTCATTCTTTCCTTTTGATTTGTTTTTTGTTCGAGTCATTTTTCTTATATCTTCGGATATTTCCAACATTTTTCCTTCATTTATTTTTTCCTCCTTATTGATCTTTCTGTTCATTTCTTTCATTATTCACTTAGAGATCAAAATTTGTTGTTTATATTTCTGTATTTCTCTGTCCTTTTCAAGCTTCTTGTTTAAGTGGATGAAAGGAATTGTGTTATTCGTCCTCCTGAATATCAGACGACATTCTTTTTCGCTGCTATCTGTTTTTGTTTTGTTTTTTTTCTCGTAAATTTTATCCCCTCGCTAACTTTTTTTCTTTTTTATTTCGTTCGGTTTTTCTTCACTTCATATTTTTCAGATAATTCTTTCTTCCGTTAATTAGCCTTTCTTTCTATGTTAATCTTCCGTTTGCCTCCATTAGTGTCTCAGTTTTTCCTCTCTTTCTATTAATTATTCTTTCTTTCTTTCTTTCTTTCTTAATCTTCCGCTTATCTCCATTAATGTTTCAGTTTTTCCTCACTTTCTATTAATTATTCGTTCTTTCTTTCTTTCTTTCTTTCTTTCTTTCTTTCTTTCTTTCTTTCTTTCTTAACTTTCCGTTTGCCTCCATTAGTGTTTCAGTTTTCCTCTCTTCCTATTAATTATTCTTTCTTTCTTTCTTTCTTTCTTTCTTTCTTTCTTTCTTTCTTTCTTTCTTAATCTTCCGTTTATCTCCATTAATGTTTCAGTTTTTCCTCACTTTCTATTAATTATTCTTTCTTTCTTTCTTTCTTTCTTTCTTTCTTTCTTTCTTAACTTTCCGTTTGCCTCCATTAGTGTTTCAGTTTTTCCTCACTTTCTATTAATTATTCTTTCTTTCTTTCTTTCTTTCTTTCTTTCTTTCTTTCTTTCTTTCTTTCTTTCTTAATCTTCCGCTTATCCCCATTAATGTTTCAGTTTTTCCTCTCTTTCTATTAATTATTCGTTCTTTCTTTCTTTCTTTCTTTCTTTCTTTCTTAACTTTCCGTTTGCCTCCATTAGTGTTTCAGTTTTTCCTCACTTTCTATTAATTATTCTTTCTTTCTTTCTTTCTTTCTTTCTTTCTTTCTTTCTTTTTTTCTTTCTTTCTTTCTTAATCTTCCGTTTATCTCCATTAATGTTTCAGTTTTTCCTCACTTTTATTAATTAATTTTTCTTTCTTTCTTTCTTTCTTTCTTTCTTTCTTTCTTTCTTTCTTTCTTTCTTTCTTATTCTCGTCTCCTCGTGCCTGTGGCTGTCATAAATTGTAGGCTCCATCAAGTTTCCCCGGTGCCTGTCGTAACAATCAGCAATGTAGTCTGCGATATATCACGTGACCTCACTGCGTAGTGCGCAAACTCCCAAATGATGCACATCGAGTATTTGTGTTTCCAGTGATCTCTGCCCACCGTGAATTTCAGGCAAATTATTTTCTTCGTATGAGCGTCCACTCAAAGAGATTCAAATATAATGTTTCATCGTAGAAGCGCCAAAACCCGCACTGGTTTTCTGTTGAGTATGGAATCCTGACTCATTTCGTGACTAGAGTTATGATAGAAAATCCTTTAACTTCCATTTGTCGGTCGCTCATCGTGACAGCTAATCTTACTCAGTTTCGCGTGGAATCAATGTATTATTGTTTTATTTGTAAAACATGAATTAAAACTTTCTTCATAATGGAAGGAGTTAGAAAGAAAGTCAAGTAGAAAATTCATGCAACATAAAAATGCATGTCATGTTAGGTTACTAAATATCGGAATTTATTGTATGTTTGGCTTGAGGCTATTTTTCTAGAACGTTCACTAAGGAGGGAGGTTATGACTAGTCTCTTTAGCGGAGGCGTAGCTAAGGGCGGGCACTCGCCGGCGGGTGAAGATGTAAAGACAGGCTGACATGAAAGGACCCACATTTTTATATGGCAAAAAAAACGTTCATCTGCAGTTTAATATAGCTATGAATGTATGGACCAACCCACATGCTGTATTAGGTACTCTCCTATAAATAAGGTAGTTTGGCTGGCTTGACTGTACAAAGAGACAAGAAGGCAGCCATGTTAGCAGGTAAGTCATTTGACTTCTACAATGAATACCCAATTCTTCATGTTCCTTCAGAATATCATAGTTCTCGACATGTTCTTTTTCCTTGCAGCTCTAAACAAATTCTGTCTCTTCTTTATTTCTAAATCCTGTTCCGCTATCGACTTTATCAATCGCGAAAAGTATATTATGCGTTGTTTTCCTCTGTCCCTTTGAGTATCGTCTTTTCCAAGCCCTCTTTTCTCATTATGTGACCCAAAAATTTTCCCTGTCTCTTCCTGGTGTTAAGTATAAGTTTTCTTTTTGTTTCCATTTTCTGTAAACCTAATCGTTGTTCACATGTTCGGTCCATTGTATGCTTAGCATCTTTCTGTGGAACCACCTTACTACTGCTTCAAGTCTTTTCTTCATCTTTCAGAAGAGTGTCCAGAATTCACTGTCATATAGGAGGACAGATATCACCTAAAAAGTCAAGTGATCTTTTTTCCTTTGTTTCTAACGAAATTTCGCAGAAAATATGCGTTCTCCCACAGGAATCGAACCTGTATTCCTACACGGAAAGCGTCATTTCTCGAACTGCCACACCGGCAAATGTAGCTAATACTGTTTAATTAAAAAAACAGCGCATTTACTCAAATAAGTGCATCCATAGAAACAGAAAATATTTAAAATAGTTGTTGGATTTAATCCATTTCATATAATATGTTGTCATTGTTTACGTCGTCCTGGGTATGACGATAAACTACATCCCCGTCCTGGGTAGGACGATAAACTACCTCCAACAGCAAGGCCTCCGATCAGGAGGTTTTGAGGAGCGTGGAACCGCCTCTTAATTGCTGGTGTTCCCAGGTCCACCCTGACCCGGGGTGGTAGCACCTGTTAGGGTCCCAGCTATGGGCAAATAGTTAACCCCGTAACTGAGGTAAAAAGCATTATAAATATTTAAAAATAGGTTTTAATATCAGAAATACTTTGTAAAAAAAATATTACCAGAAATTTGAAAAAAAAAACTATTACCAGCTATATGTTTTTGAAAAAATAATATTACCAGTTATACGTTTGTGAGGAAAAAATATTGCCAGAAATAGATTTTTGACAAAACAAAAATATTACCAGGAAAAAAAAAGTTGACGGCATTAAATAACCCATTGAGGCTGATATTCCGCAAAACAAAACAAAACAAAACATTGTTTATGTTAGGCAACAATTTCAGAGCAGATATGAGAGATCGGGGAAAGTCGGCGAAAGTGTGTGTTTAAAAGCAGTAATTATAATTTTGCTAAACCGAATAATTACTTTTGTTCATTATTTGCACACAGCTGGGAAGCTAAAATGTGCTAGCACCCCTAGTCAGAGTGGACCTAGGAACAATAGCAATCTAGATATGATTTCAAGTTCCTGAAAACCTTCAATCTCTCGATAAGAGCCCTTGTTGCTGGATGTATTTTTCATTATACTCTTAAATAACATCGTAAGATGGTGACTTTCATATGGATGCCATACACAGCGGCGGATCCGTTCAGAAATATCTAAAATGTCTACTTTATGCAACCGCCTTCTTAGGTCAGTGCACAGAAATGGTTTCGAGCGGGTGAGACGTCGAGGAACACCCTGATTCAAACCTCACAAAGCAAGCAAATAACTGCACCAGATAATAGAAAGCGCTTCACTTTTGTACTTTCGAAAACAGCAAGAACTAAAAAAGGTTAGCCCATGCAACTCGAAGAAAGGGTAATGACATAATTACGATGTTGACGTTCCACACAACCCCAAACAAAAGCCAAGGAAGGAAACCCCGACTAATACTGGAAAGAGCGTTAACAGCGAACAGGCACGAAAAACCTATTTTCCTGAAAAACGGAAAGATTTTATGAATGTCAACCGACAGAGAGGTGGAGGGACCAGGTGGCTCACATGGGTTCGATGACTTCATGGCATGAGATTCAGCAGTAGCAGCAATCGACAGCAAAGTAAATGCTTGGTTAATTTTCTTATAAGGAATTGGCTAATATTACCATCACAATTATGCATGTGTATATGTATATAAGATGAATGTGTGTGCAGTGTAACGATTATTGGCCAATAAAGCAGAATCAGAGTTTTTTCCCCTATGTGCGGGTTAAATAATAAAGCGAACTGCACTCGCTAGTCTTAGGGGGAAACTGCACTACGAAGTAAAAGTTAGAATTCAAGACCTTAGAAAAATCAACGGGAAACTATTTCATTACATTTCCTATGAATGCATAGCGATTTACAGATATTTTTTTTATCATTTCACCTCATGCAAGGCGGGAATGCCACCAGAGCGCAGGGTTTAACAGGGAATGAAAGTGAAAAAGAGACCACTGAGTATAGGGAAGATTAAGGAAAGAACAAAAGATGAACGTGATTCAAGAAGGCAGATGATAGCGATTGATGTTGTATTTAAACTTTTGATGCTTTTATTTATCAGGGAAGCAAAGAAACAGAAAGTGGGAAAGTGGCAGAAAAGAAAATTCGAGTAGAAATGGTGTTTGCATTTAACTATTTCAAAAGTAAAGAGGTGGGGCCTTGATCCCAATCCAGCAGCACTTTTAAATCCATGTAGCCAGAGCATCGGGGGGTGGGGAAACCTTTCTAGAAAAGACAGAGGGAAGCCACGTCACGTCGGTGAGAAAGTGATTGAAGTTGTGATGCCTTGTCAAAATCGATTAAATTACAGATTTTTCTTTGGATTTTGTCAAGAATTTCGATATGTACAGCAGGAGCACTAGACTAGATATGGCAACAGTATTCAATGCACAGATGAATTGCCGATTTTCAAATGTGCAAAATGGATTCAGACGAAAAATATATTCTGGCATGACACAGTGGTCCAAATTTCCTTGCAATAGATGCAGCT